CTTACTCCTTTCATATCAGCTAATGTTGAGAAGCTAAGTAAGAATTTGAGTTCTTTTTCTAAAAATAGAACCCAGGTTACAAAAATCTTACTGCCAGATCCAACAGATATGCCAAAAGTGGAACACAACGAAGCTAAAGTAGGCCGTCTCCGTAACCGAACCAGTGTGAAAATCAGTTGTTCCCTTATGGTAAGACTTGCAGTCGTCAGGCTTTGCTGAAAAGTGAAACAAAAATATAAAACATTAATATTTGTTAGGTTGTCTGCTTTCTAGAAATGAATTACCACCCAGATAATTTTATTCACTAATAAAGGGGAAGTGCTCAGCAGGTCATTGTGAAATATGGTGCATGGTGGCATATTATTTACAAAGCTAGCCCATCAATATAGAGCCCTGGCAACCATTAACTACTTCGATTCCATTTGATGATGATAGCTTAACCCTAAAAGTGGCAATGCACCCTGATGCGCCCTAATTTAAATTAGTATTTTACTCTGTCTAACGCCAGATGATGTTACTCGTCAAGTAGAGAGTGCTGCCAATCAATGGGTTAATTTGGTGGTAACACAAAGGAAACCAAGGAATAGCGAGCCTAAATGGTATTATAATATCACTAACATGGTGCCTTGATCATTGCATCTGATTAACTAATATATCATGGCAATGAATGTCGACATAATAACCTAACATTATATTCATTTTCGTTGTTTTTACCTTTTCATATTTACTTTGTAAGCCAACGTTTGGTTTCGTCTTTATAGTACCTGACCACATTGTCAGTGACTTTGCCTTTTTCTTCACATTCACATATAAAACATTAAGGTACTCCTTTGATAAACCTTTAACAGAAAGGGAAATATTTATCAAATTTTATTCTATTTTGCATTAAAATAAACCATGATTACTGCCAACCTGTATAGTGGTAGGTCTTGTTTGGGTCATCTACCAGAGCAATGAATAAATATTTCATTAACTTTTTGGAACTCTTTAGCATCTCATCTGAATAGTCTTTTATGTCCAAAGCTACAACATTTGTCTATTAATTAAATTAAAGCATAAATATAAACTTGTGAATAAATTCATTGTTTACAAAACTACTCTACTATCATCTACACTTGCACCAGCTGTCTAGCCTGTCTATACAATACGAAATATGAACTGATCTATACACTCTGCTATAAACACATACTACAGTATGTATATAAATAATAAATATTATTGTTATGAACAGATGCATTTTGCAAAATGTTAATTTTAGCAAATAACCAGAATTGATATAAATGGCAATTGCCTCTACAATCAGCTTGAATTAACTCTTTAGACCATCTTAAATATACATATATGCTATACCTGCACGCTCTCATCCTTTTTTATAGAGCCAATGTCATTTTGTTCTGAACTTTCTGTCATGTCTTCTCCCAATAACAACAAACTTTCGGATGCTACTATTTCCTCCTTTGTCGTTTCCAACTTTGAGTCATATGAGTCCGAATCCAATAGATCTAACATCTCTGACGCTTCTGCATTTCCCTCGACTTTTGTAGCCTTTCTTGCTGACACATCTATGCCTAAACGCTGCTTGGGAGCTTTGCGTTTACGATGAAGCCTTTCAACCTACAATATATAAATATGTATAAACTCGTTGCTCGGAAACGCAAGTTAAATATTACAATAAAACACGCAAATACATTCGACAAACCTTTTCTTTGCTTTTTATAGCTGATATGGGATCAGGATGTTCAAGAGTTGGCCCATTTTTACCGACAAAGTGCAAGCTACATATGTAGCTGTCTTTCTTGCACACGAATGAGTCTCCGCGATGACACGCAATAATCCATCGCTCCCTCCTTTCTGCCGTTTCTTTCCAGCGTTTTGGAGCCGGAAAACGATAGAAAATAACAGGATCGCCATTCTTGTTTTTTGTTTGCAAATGTAGGAACCGAGAATCATTTCTGCAAGTTCACCAAGCGCATCGCTTTACCATGTTTCCTATAGTATTTATACAAGCATGTCCCGCAAAGTGTCCGCATTTCGCGATTTTTGACCACGTGACACTACACGTGTTTCTAGGTCTGAAGTCGCGGATTGAATCTTTTGACAAAGCTACAACATGACACTTCGAATGAGCGCGCGCTCGGAAAGACTTTACCACGCGTCAAGTATTAATGATATTCCGACTAATGAAGCGCCTCTGACGTTTGTAAATCGGTCAGAACTCCCCACAGATCAGTCAAAATCGCAAAAAATCGCTTGTTTCCATGGCAATAAGCGTCTAGACCAATCAGAACACTGGATTTTGACTTTTTGACTGACCAACTTTGCGTATGTCAGCTGCTCATTGACTTCACTAAGCTCGTCGGCTCAACCACTTTATGAAATTTGATCACTGGACTACAGTTCGATTGGAATGTTAATTGCTAGCGCTGCATGATAATAGTTACTGAACTATTATAAGGTGTCGCTGCATGATAAAAAATAACTGGACTATTGGTCGAATATTTAAGACTTTAATTAAGTTTGCAATTTTTACGTTAGTCGCGTGACTGGTTTGACGACCCCTAGATCCGCCCCTGCCATGATACCGAATGCTTTTTTTGTCTTTTTGAGTGTTAATCAATTGTGAAACAGGAACAACTACAGCACATGACGTGCAAAAAATGTTTTCGAAGTGTAAACTGTTCTTTGCTCTAGATTGCCCGCAGACCCCTGTGCCAGGGCCGCCCAGAGGTTGGCGGGGGCCCGGGGCAAATTTTTTTTTAGGCCCCCCGCCCCCCGTCGCCAAAAAATTTTCGGTCAGTGTACCATTTTAGGGGTAAAATATTTTTTCCGGAGTACAAAATTTTTCCGGACGAGTACGTTGCAATTGCTTTCGAGGGACTTTATCTCATTTTTTTTATGCCAAAATTCGATACTTAGCCCAAGAAAACAGATATCTTGTCCTATGCGCGGAAATATTTAACACACAAAAAAGGCTGGGGACCAACAAAAATTTTTCAGTTTCAGGGGCCCCGAGCAATTCGGGGCCCGGGGCAATTTGCCCCCTCTGCCAACCCCCCCCCCCTCTTGGCGGCCCTGCCCTGTGCCACAAATATTAGATAAAGCACAAAATTAAACAATGGCATTTGTGCAACAAAGATATTTAGCGGTTTGCTTGTGTTCCTCTCAAATGTAAAGTTAAGCATCTGAAAAGCAGATAGCAGATCAAGAATTGTTTAATCTACAAAATAGACTCGTAATAGACTACACACGCAAAAACCTCACAATTTGTCAACAAGTCGTTGCACGATAACATGTTGTTGGAGCAACTTGTAATGAGCCTGTTGGAGCGCGGCTAATGGTCTATTATAATCTGTGGTTGGGGTCAACAGCATTGTAGCAAATTGTCAACAAACCTGTGACAACTTGGCAACAAGCTTGGAACAAGCTGTATACAAACACATCCTGGTGAAAAGTTGGTGAAATAGCATTGCTAGACGAACGCATGCTTTATTCAATCTAGAAAATGCCTTAAAATTCGAAAATTCTGAAAACTTCTTTAAAAAGGCTCTGTGTATAATATAACACTATAGAGCTGATGTAAATGAGTCTAAGTCGGGCCAGAAACACATTTATGCCCAAGAACATAAATTAACTGTATTACTGTATAATAATTTTACAGGGGATTACAGCACAAGTGATAACAAAATAGACCTAAACCCTTCTCAAAAGACAAAAGGAAGAATAAAAAACTAGTTTACACAATTTATGAAGTGATAGTTTTGACTAAAAACAAAGCTAGCTTCGCTTGTTAATCAAAAACTACCTCTCTAATTGCACTCTCTGGTCTGGCTTTCTTCTTGGAGAGGTTTATAAAGATATTTTGTAAAATGAACTAATGAGTAATAATGTATAAACTCACACTGATGTGTATTAAATAATTTCTGCCACAACACAGTCAATAATCAACATGAAGTGTGTTTCGATGTTTTCGGGAATGGATTCTAGCTTGTTTATTTTGGATAATTGTCATCTCCTCTCTTTTTTATTTTTTAATACAGTCATTTCGTCGATGAAAAATTTAAAAAAAACTCTCACCCGATAAAATTTATGTTAGCCCGCTAATTTATTCATTTTCGCCCGCTAAAGTTACTATAATTCTAAACTTTGGGAATCGTGATCGGCAAGAGGAGTATAAATTTTTCAAATTTGCATTTATGAAAATTCCCTGTTACTTATTTACAGTATAGATATGAGAAAATGAAATGTGTGGGCATGGACAATCTTTACATTATAATTATTATCTTTCATTCTATCTTGCAAAATAAATTGAATTTTACGAGTGTAACATTCTAAAATGTGGAAAATTGCTTAAAACCTGACGTACACGTGATCAAAATGTATTTTATGTAAACAACGTCATTTTCCATTACCAAACCTGGCACGTTTGGCGCTCAAACGTGTATAACGTTTGAAACGTAACATGCGCGATAAGATCGTCAAGCTTCAATGCAAAAAAACATGACAATTTATAGCTTATTGACTCTGGCCAAAATGAATATATTTAAGAGTTAATTTGGTTTTTATGTTCTTAATGGCTCATATAATTTTTATGACAACAACAATAATCTGTATACACATGCAATTTCTTATCTAAACAATAAGATTAATTGTAATGACACGAGACCCAAAATGGGCACGAGATATAGATTTGTAATGGCACAAGATCCGAAAAAGTTGATCTGCAGACTGCAATTACTTCTATAATCTCTAAACGTTTATCTAAAGAATAAGATTGTAATGGCACGAGAGCCGAAATAGGCACGAGATATATTTGTAATGGCACGAGATTCTAAAATGTTGACAGGTATATGTAATCTGCATGATGCAGACAATTTCTTCCTCTATATATTCTCTTAGACTGCGAGCAGTCCCTAATATTCTCTAAATGTTTATCTAAAAAAATAAGATTAATAGTGATGGCACCACGAGACCCAAAATAGGCACGAGATAGATCGCTTGTAATGGCACGACATCGGAAAGAGTTGATATGTATATAGTAGTTTACCCACAGGGTAGTGAATGCTGCCTTGGTATAGCATTGTTCCCAAATCTTTAAATGAGATTTTTTGTATGTTACGTAACACGCGCTCAAAACTAATGCGTATAATATACCACATGAGATTATGCCGGACTAAAATCAAAATTTTTATTTTTCGATACGTTTCTCAATCGGTAAAAGAAAACTTAAAAAGTATGTTTATTGCTTTATCTGTAAAATAATGCTAAATCTGCATGCATGTATGTAGACAATGAATGATTCCACTTATAGACTAAATTTTGATCTAGGGAATTAAAAAGAACAAAATCCATCACCACAGCTATAGAAAGAGCATGTTAAAATTAGTAAAATTGCAACGTTTAGTTGCGAAATGTTGTAAAATGAGAAAAATATAGCCCTGCGGAATTTGCAAATTTTGTATTACGCACGGGAAAATGCACTACTTTCAGTCCAAATGTGGTGCATTTTTTCGCGCGTAATAAATTAATACAAAATTTGCAAATTTCGCAGGGCTATATTTTCCGCATTTAACAACATTTCGCGGCCAAACTTTGCAATTTTACTAATCCTAACATGCGCTAGCTGTGGTGTGATGGATATTGTTCTTCTTGCCTAGATCAAAATTTAGTTTATAGCTGGAATAGTCCATGATTTAGGAAATAGAAAACGATTCGCGTGCGTTTATGGTGTGATAATGCACGCGGGGAATGTTGGGAGAATACGAGAGAAGCGTGTAAAACACGAGGCGTAGCCAAGTGTTTTACACGCTTCTCGAGTGTTCTCCCAACATTCTCCGAGTGCATTATCACACCATAAACGCACGAGACGAGTTTTTCTATTTCTTTTATAATATAAAAGAAGATATTACATGGTAAACAATTTTACTCAAAAGATCAACTTTTAAATTCTCCTAAAATGTACTGGGTGACATCACGCGCATGCTTTTACTGTCGCTTGAATTGCTTGAATTTTCAAACGAGCGAAGGAGCAAAAACAATACAAAATTTTGAGAAAGTTTTGATGCTAAAGTTGCGAAGAAACTGTTTAAAATGCTGGGGGGGGGGGGGGCG